CCCCCCCCCCACGATGGCCCTTTTGCGGGGTGGGGGTCAGTGGGGAGGGGATTAAGAGGTGGGGAATAGAGGGAATCCGAATAGGAACCTCTGACCGCTTCGGCCGGGGCCGAGGCGAATTGTAGATCCCTTATCAACGATCGCTGAAGGTCTCCGCAGCTTCTGGCACTCCTCTAGAGTTTGCGGATCTCGGGTAGTCCAACTACTAGTATGACCGGTGGAATGCTACAGGTTCCCCGCATGATCTTGAAGCGGCACGAGTGGTACACACAGGCCAGTTGCAGCTCGGAAGCGGGTTTCGCCAATACTTGTGGCAGATTCTGGCATGTCCACGCACGCTAGATTGAGAAGATGACGTTGCTGAATCTTCACTCCAAGTCACCTATTGTGGGGCACGAGCCCAAGTGTACCACTTCCGCGAACGTCTCCCTTCTTGGATCGGTTGAGGCCCATTCTCCACATCGAGGTTCCTCCTCCGAGCAGCGCTTGGAGGGAGCTCACGGGAGAGTCCGGTGTCCGGTTGTGTAGTTGGGACCGCTACGAGGCCGGATTTTGACCTCGATGACCCAGAGGCCGCCACAGTTCGTCGGAAGTGGGTTAGCCATGGGCCGCTGGAACTGACACAGAGACACAGGCCCTGACAAAATGTAGTTTTGCCATTGTCGTGCCAACAAGCCATGGGGTCGGGGGCGCTTGCATCATCCGCTTGCTAGCAGCCAGATCCGGAGCAAAGTCGAGCGCGGGGAGGACCTTGGCAAAGCACACCAGGAGGCATCCGCCGGCGTCCGTTCTTGGACTGCTTCAATCTCTGAACTTGACACTCTGCGGTGATCTCTGTCGAGCGCAAGAGTCAAAGTAGTTTCCGGCCAAATCCACTTTGTGGGCTTGGTACTGCAGACATTGGTTTTCACCAGATGCATTTGTGGGTGTGCAGTGGGTTTTCCCGGTTCAGGATGGATTGCCTGGAGCTCTTCATGGAAGCATGGGGCCACCTGATTTTGAAAAACGCAGATGCTGCTACTTGCGGGCCTCCATGCAATTTTCAGGGCTTCGGCCTAGCTTGGCTTGGTGGTAGAAGCTTTATGTGCGCCTCCGGACACAGCAGGCTGATCTATGCAGCTATGGCATTCGAGGAGATTCACGGGCTTTGCGTGGAGTTGTTTTGCTTGCATTGGCGAATTCAGCCCTGATCCACGCATCCACCCGTGCAAGGAGGACATAGTGAATGTGGTTTGCTCAGATGACAGCTAGTGTGATGCACCGATATAACAGCTGCTCGCGTAGGTTCGGTTCCATCCTGGTGGTATTTTGCTGGAGGGCATGATGGAGGCCGGGGGTCTGAGGAGACTCTGGGCTCACGTTCAGATCCTGCGCATGTCTTGTCCTGGAAGTCGCTTGCAGATGTTCCTCCACTATGGCCCGAAGCTTCGCACGATCAGCTTGGAGGGGAACGCCGGCTTTGTGACAGAGGACCGGCAAGCATGTGCAAGTACCTTTGCCCGACGGTGTTCACCATTTTGCAGAATGTGAACCCAGGATGCGTGCTTCGAATTCTGTGTAGTTGTGTAGCTGATACGCAGGACGCGCTGTCGCTCTTGACTTTGGCTGATGACTCGGATGGTTTGGTCCGTACTCTTTGGGACAGACCCCAGCGAAGAAGACTAGGCTGGCGACACGGTGAAGACCTTGGACCTGGAGGACTGCGATCTGAACTCCGGGCACTTGGAGGCCCGATGAATTGCGGTGTTTCCATCAGGCAAGATCTAAGAGAGGCGTCAAAGAGAGTAAGGCTTCGGGAAATTGCTCCTACAGGCTGTCCTCCACACCGTGAAGAACCTGCGAGCATTGCAGATCCTAGACCTCGCAGGTTCCACTTTGGCCCGCCTAGCCGTCTGCAGGAGAGTCATAGTAATTCTAGGAACCGCGCTGTGTGCTTATTGTCACACTGGTTTCGGAATCCTTGGCTCACGTTTGCAAAGCCCCAGGCAACAAGTTTGACGGCCCCACAGCTCTCAACCTGGTGGGAGCCCTGTGTGAAAGCAGGATCGACCTTGAGATTTTACGCATCTGAGCTGAACTGGACTTCGGTGTCTGCTCTGGTGTTGCCCCGAAATGCTTGATGTTTTAACCACCGCTGGTGGTGTCGAGGATTGGATGGAAATCCCTTGGGCACACCAGAGGTCTTTAAGAACGAGGTTGCAACGCTGCTAGCCAACCGGGGTGAGTCTGTCATAGCTGGTGGCGACCTTGTGCTGCACCTGGGTCCGAACCCTGGTTACCGGGTTCAAAGAACGGAATGGGAGCTGCCACAGCACATCAAGCCACAGAGGCGACGATGCGGTGCGTTGGTGCCCTGCGCCCCGTGAGGGATCTCTGGCGCGAAGACTGCGTGAGGACTGTCCGTGCATTGTCATTGTGGCACCGAAGTGTCGCAGCCTCTCGCTTCTATCGCCCTGCGAGGAGGGCGGAGACGTGGTTCGCACGTCGTCCCTGAAGGCCCGGTCTGCAGACAGAAGTCCAAGTTCAGACCTGCGAGTTTCAGGAGATGGATCGCTTGGTTGCGCAAACAGAGGCAGGGGACGGCCAGGGGGGTTGAGAAAGCTCAGTGAGTCGATGAGTCCTGGAAGGCGCAGATCTTGAAATTCCAGCAAAACGATCCGGCAGCAAAGTCTGCCGGTGGCCGCGACTGGCTGCGCCGACGGCGGCAGCAGAATGCCAAGGTGCCATCTTAAGAGACAATGAAGGTTGTGCGTCCGGCTCTGCGACCGAACCCATCAAGGTTTGGGGGAAGGAACAAAGACGCTCCAGCTTGCAGACGCACTGTCATTCGCGGGACTGTAAAAAAAAGCATGTCCTTGTGTGTACCTCGTCCCACCTGCAGGTTTGGTCTTCGCCTGCTCTGAAGTTCTATCGGAGGCAGCGTGCATGGCTGGCCAATCAGAAAGAATGACGTGCTTATAACCCTCGTAGTGCATCTATTCCTTCCTCTTGCAACTCGTGGTCACATAGTGCAGACTCCAACAAGGGTGTTAATGAAAGAGCTGCGCGGGATCGCGACTTGGCTCACTGTACATAGCCTCAGGGGGTGCTGCCCGCAACTACGGGTCTGCAGAGCGAGGTTCACCTCCGTAAAGCACCTGTTGCAAAGCAACAGACAAAACAAGGCCCCTGTTGCACCGAACTGTCGGATGTCTCGACTTGAGCAGCTCGCTGCCTCCGGTCCTTGGCTTACAGAGAAACGCAGCGCTGCCACACGAACCGTGCGGGTAGGTCGTCTCTGCTCTAATCCTCTAAGCTCAACGAAGATCGGACAGCGAACAGTGCTACTGTAGAGACTCGTATATCAGAGCTTGCGCTGCGGCTTGTCCTTCGCCTACAGCTATCTACGGCTTCCGTGATCAAGCCTGGTCCTGAGACTGCCTTGTTGCCACAGCTTGCAACAGCATGCAGCAGAGCCGCCTCGTCGATCCGAAAGTCTCTGATTGGTTGATTCCTTCAGATGTCTGCTTGCCGTAGCATACAGTTTCGGCTCCGCAGCTTTGGACGCAAAGCCTTGCTCAGAGAAGGACCGGACATGAAATCGAGAGCATTGCGATTGCTGTTGTGAGGTCTTGCGCGATGTTTGTAGGTTCTGTGGTACCCGTGGTTGTATTTTGTGTGAACTCTGCTGAGAGCAACCTACTTTCGATGCAGGGATGGCGCTTCGCGGTGCTTTGCAACTTTCGCGCCTGCGCATGATGAAGGCTTGAAAATGAGACGACAGCCGCAGAGATCTGCAGACGCTGCTGTGACTGCTGCTGTGTCAGATCGACCTGCCGGAGTTCTCGAAGAGCCGCTTTGCGCGCCGGGTGAACATGATGGAAGAAGTCTGAGGCCAAGACACACAAACACAAAAACCACACCAGAGGATGATGTTCGACAAATGTACTCTCCGAGGACCGGGTCAAGTGGTACAACTGGTGCTTCGCCTGAATTGCGCACAGCACCGTGCTGTGCCACAGTCATCACCATGTTCACTTTGGCTGTCGATTCACACTGTCCGAATACGAATCTGCATGAGACAACAGCAGCTGTCTTGAGTTGAGGAACGTTGCCTGTGTGCTGCTCACCACTGTACCCTTCGCATGGATGTACACTGTGAACTATCGCACCTCTGAAGAGGCCTGGGTCCGTGAAGTGCTGGGCTGAACTTGGGCATACTCGTCGTAGTGTTTATGGAATCATTGCTACGACCATCTTGGCAACTGGACTTTCGGCAGTTCAAAGCGTCCTCTTCTCCCTCGTTGTCTTATGGCTCAATCGCCGAACAACTCCTCAAAGCATGAAGCATCTGTGAATATGAAGCCTTTCACTCGCTTCTCAGGTTCAGTTAGACAGATTTCAGACGTTTCGTACAGGCGGGTCTTTTTGGGCTCAGGCAGGGTGGCTTCCAGGCTTGCTACAGACACTGGCTCACAGGCAGCAATTCGCAGGACTGCATGCGCCTGGCTCGTCGTGTGAACAGGTGGCCATGATCTACAGGACCATGGACCCCATGGGTACGCTGAAGTTCAAGTGCCCCCTGTGTCACCCCACATCTTTTTGGCAGCATTTCTGACGAACTCACAGACGTCTTTGCGCTGCAAGCACGTGCGAATCTGGAGCTTTTGCTGCTTGGCCCTGCTGGATTCTGGTGAGGTATGACCTGAAGCTGTTTGGGTGAGTCCAGGCTTTGTGCCAGCAGCTGCACATGGGGCAAACACGCTAGTCACTGAGCTTCACTTGCCCAGGGCAGCCACTGAATCCGGCTGAGCGACATTGGAAGCCGGAAACCGACTGCCTGAACTGTTACCTGTAGAGCTGTCATTTCCTAAAGACCACTCGACATTGTGTGTCAGGCATCGGTTTTTTGCTTGATCAGATAGGTTTTGACGCAAATCTTTTTAAGTCAGCTCGGGTCAAGTCTGCAAGAAGGAACTAGGCTTACACACAAGTGCGGCCTGAGCTGAGCTGTTGATTAGCGGCTTGTGGGCAGCAGAACTTCTGAAAGCATAAAAGGTTACATGCACAAGACCAGAGGCATAGTAAATGCTAGCTAGGGCGAGGGATTGCAAAGTCCCACTAAATATGAAGGAAGGCTGATGGATCAGACTCATTTCGTTTGCAGCGGAAGTGCCGGTAGAAGAAACAGCGGCATGTTATGGCACCCTTGCATCATCCACTGCATAGTCTTGGCCTGGAAACTTGTGCCAGGGCGAAAGCGAGATGTGTTCGATGGAACTCGTCACTGCGTTGGCAAAGCTGACACAGGCGCGCTCGAGATCTCACAAAAGATTTTCGAACATTAATCAGTCCTCAGGTGATGCCCATTGCCGGAGTAGAGTCCATGGAAGAGGAGGAGTTGAGCCAAGTAAACTTCAGCGGAAAGCGAACGCGGTCCGAGCATAGGATCTCGAGGGCCCGCCGGGAGCGGAGCAGATGAAGGCCCGGCTTGGCTGCCTTGAACTTCAAGGATTCGATGTGCCTCTCTTGGGCTCCCCCAAGGCACGCAGTCTCGGGCCGGGAGATGAGACTTCCTGTTTGAAGCGTGCCTCCCTTCAAAGCTGAGTGGCAGCCCATGGGTTTTGTGTGGTCTCTTTGCACAGTGCATGATGCGATGAAGGCTTAAGATGGCAGCCGGGTATCATGAGCCGGAAGGGCATCTAGAACTGCACAGCGCATCATACGTCTATTTTGCATCATGCTGGAAATGCTTCTCCACTATCTGCGTACTGCACTTTAGCAAGGCGAAGACTCGTTGGTGTGGTCATCTTACCAAGATTTTCTTAGGGCAATCCGCGAACTGATGCCCATCGACTCGGAGCTGCTGGAGAAGATCGAGAGGCCTGGATTCGAAGCGAAAAACTCCGACGAACCGCGGCCCATGTCGAGGCAAAGGCGGCGCCTCGAGTGCCCGCGGTGCTGCCGAGTTTCGGGGCTCCGACACTGTAAGGGCGACCTGCGGCCCATGTCGAGAGCGAGAGCCGTTCCCGTGAGCTTTGTCCTTGTCCCTTTCGCCAACGCCCCCAAACCCCTGCTTGGTTCCCTGACTTGCAGGTTTTAGGCTCTGCAGTGAGATGGCTTTGTGCTCGTAGTGCCTCCGTGCTTCGGCGAGGGATGAACGTCGAGCCTCGTTCCCGGCGGTCGGGATCCGGAAGGCTGCCTGGTGAGCAGACTCGCGCCAGGGCCCTGCATAGAATCCAAAGCCAGAGCTCGCCGGATCCACCGAAGCTGGAGAGCGTAGCGGAGAGGCGCAGGAGAAAGGAAGCCCTCCAAGTCCGGGGAGGAAAGCCTACGTCGCCTCGGGAATACACTCGCATTGGGAAGATGCCTCCGCGCAAGCCGGCACTAGAAGGCGCAGCCAGGGTAAATGCGGACCAAGACGGCGCGCATGCCGCGGCTCCCTCGAGTTTTGGCAGGGCTTGCCCGAAAAGCCCGAGGAGCCCACAGGGACCAGAGACGCGGCCAACCCGACCAGCGCGGTCAGGAGATGAGTCCAGTGACCTGCGGAAGAGGGCATTGGTGTTACTTGCCAGCTCCAAGTCTGCTGCAGTGAAAGAGAAGACGGAAACGTTTATGCAGAAGCACAGGATCGCCTTCGTGCAGCCCGGACCTCCCGATCACGACACCACGAGACTCTGCGAAGATGAACTTGTTCAGACTGCCACAGAGACGCCGCAAACAGCAGAGTCCGCAGAGACTGCTCAGTGGTGCTTACCGCTGGATGCACTCACGTTTGTGTGGCTCCAAAGCGTGTTCCAGTGGGGCATTCGGTGCATCATTGGATGCATGCTTCTGTCCCTCAGATGCTGCCTTGGCAGCATGAACTGCCTGAAGCCTCTCCTTGTCGAGGAGGCACCAAGAAGGCGCTACCAAGACAAGCCCGCAGTCAGGACTTTGGAGTAATCGCAAGATAGCTGATTCGCGCCTTGTAGGTCGCACGGCCGGTGTCTGCTCGAAAGGGTCCGGCCTCGTTGGTTAAGGGGGAAACGCTGGGCAATACCGTGTGCGAAGAACTAGGCCCTTGGCCAGCAAGATTGTCCTCGTTTAGCTGTAGAAGCTGCCCCTGTTGCAGTTCTAGCTAGGAAGCCGTGGAGGCCCTGCAATAATCACGGTGAATATGACGGTCACGGCAACATGAACGAAAACGCCATCTGACAACGACACAGCAGATTCCGCTGACCGACAGGACACGCGAAGCCACGAGGCCTCGGCGACGCGCAGCCAAGGCCAGCTGCGGCCTTTGTAACCCTGCACAAAGAGACAGCTACGGGAGTGTGTCCTGTTTGCAGGGCTCCACGAAGGACAGTCTGAGCGAGCAGCTCGACACCCTGGAGGCAAAGATCGCAGCAGCAATTCCTGGCACTCACAGAGAATCTAGCACATCATGACTTGAGCGAAGCGGAGAGGCGCTCCTCAGCCGCGAAGCGGCCTCGTTGGTCAGCCTCAAAGCAGAAAAGACCTGAGACGGTAGCGCGGACGGTACACTGCTGAGAATTGGTGCCGGGAGCTGCTGTGTTTCACTCGTGCAGGCTCATCTGTGTCAGAGGAAGATAAGAGATGGCGCATTGGTCTCATCGATCGGGTCGGTGTAGAACATTATCGCAAGTGCAGCGTCTCATCGAACAAGGATACTGTATGTGGCCATAGGCAGTGAGAGCAGGTTTGCTTCGCAATCAGGGAGGGAAGTGCCCTGCCCTTCCCGAAATCTTCGAGGCAGAGGCCATGGAAAACAGTTTACTTTCAGGTATGTTGGCCAGTACACCTGTGCACACAGTGACAAGTTAGGCGTGTGAAAGTCGTTTTGTGTTTGCTACCAGTACCAGTTAGGAGTTAAGAAGCAAACAGAGAAGCAGCTGCTGAAGCCAGTGCAGCTCGAGTTTTTCAGTTTTTCGGTTTAGAGCCTCGCGTAGCCGAGCCATGTCAAGACAGAGCAAGGTTAGTCCTGTGGTGCTGGCGGCACTGGCTGTGCTTTGCGAGGCCAGTGAGAACCAGCTGATGGACTCGTTAGCTGAGTTCCGAGTGGCACATCGGTCAAGGCCTGCTTCACTCATGATCCGCCAGGCAGTTGCCGAGGGTTTCGACGCTTACCGTCAGCGTGGGGGACAGCCTTCCTGACGATGTCGGTCATTGTGACCTTGCTCCGTGGGACGGGCCTGTTAGTGGAACAGCACAAGGGAGCCCGGAGGATCCAGGTGATGTGACGGATCCATTCAGCACTGAACAGGGTGGCGTTCAGGCCACCATGCAGGACTACGTGGACGAGCTCGTCGCCGAGGACTATGGTGTTCCGGCTGTCGACCAGGCAGCCTGTGCTGCAGATACAGGGGCCTTGTTCGGGGGGTTTGCTTTGGAAAAGGGTTTGATGTTGGCGACGGGAAGTATGCGGCGTCAGTGGCGCCCTCAGCCATGCCGAACCTTTGCTCCGGTCAGTCAGTCAAGGCCCCAGCGCAGGCTGCTTGCCCAAGGATACTGCAAATTCGGTTCTTCCTGTAAGTTTGGCCACCGCAGTCCATCAGTTTCCGCCAATCGTGCCAGGCGCTCGTCCTTAGGGACAGCGGCCCGCTGCTTGGCCCACCAGTGAGAGCCGACCTCCTGTCTGCGAATTCAGTCACCCTAACTGAGGAAATTGGGTTGCCAGGCATGTGCAAATAGGCTTTTGGTGCCAGGACACAGCGGCTTTTGCCCCATGACCCATGACTTATCTCCTTTTGTTGGGGGTCAGACAAGGCTACGTGTAACCGTCTTGGGCCATGATCCTCGTACTGTAGCACGATGCACTTTGTAAAGCAGAAGCATCGCTACATGCAGAAGTTTCGATTGAGGCCGGCAAGCGCCTTAGAACAAAGCTCATGTGGTGATAAGACAGCGCACGCGAAGCGATTGCAGATCATCGCCAGGACATGAAGCTCTGAGCACGTTGTGAGCCTAGCGTGAAAACATTTCGCCAACCGATGAGCCATGCCCTGCTTTGGAATCAGCATTTGAGCTGAGTTATTTCTGCTTGTGGTTTCGTTGGCTTCGAGGTTATGAGCGCCCAACCAGGTGCTACCTCTGCGTTTCCGAATGGTGTGTTTGTAAGACCGCAGGAGGAGGCGGCCGAACAGAAACCTGCAGTGCAAGCAGATGCAACTAGTGCAGGGATATCGACGGTCTCTGCTCAGGCTGCCGGTGGGTTTTTGGATGGTGACCAGAGCCGCATGCAAGTGATTGATTGATCCTGGAGCTCAATTTGAGCAACAAAGGGCTCCAGAAAGTATGCAAACTGCGGGCAAAGTTGTGGATGAAGATATGGGTGTGGCATCGAGTTCTTCTCTGCCTGGGCCCTCGGTCATGGAACCACAGACCGGCAGGCAAACCAGTTCCCGAGAAGCTGAAGCTGCGGTGGATGTTTGCCAAGACCGAGTGCGAGGGTGGAGGAGGGCCAGCGCACCAGTGTTTTTATTGAGGAGCCTCAACCTGGAAAACAGACTCCGAGACCGGCTTTGAGTTCGCACCGGGAGGCATCAGCACTTCAAGGTCTGCTGCTCCAAGCCAGTGGCCGGGATGGGTCTCGCGACTAGGGGATCTGTTCAAACCTAAAACCTGGCCACCAAGTCCGCTGCCCGTCTCCACCTCCATTGGGAGGAGCCCATGGCGGAGGGCAGCCTGTTTCCCGGTGTGGTGATGGTCGATTTGATAGCTCGTCGTTCCACGCAAAGCATGACACTGCTTTTGTTTCGCCTGTAAACTCTGTACCAACCTGGAGGGCCACTTTTTCTGCACTATTCTGCAGAAACTTCAGGGCTCTGAAACCTCGACTTTTATGGAGGAATGCCTTCGCCAGCTTCGCGCTTGGCCCCGATAGTTGCAACGATGTCAAGATGTGGGGATGGCGGTTCTGGATTAACGACCTTGACATCTACCGCTGTTGGGAAGGCCCAGAGGCAATGTTTCGCACGCAGTTGGTCCGAGTCACACTGAGAATTGAGCAGCAACCAACCCTCCAGGATGTCTTGAAGGACCAACAGCACCTGCAGGCCGAGGTGGAAAACATAGCATCGGCGACCTCAGCAAGCAGCCCGGGTGTGAGAGAAGGGGGACAATCGACGCCAGCATCCACTTCGAAGCCGCCGATGTGTAAGTACTTCTGACAGGGAGCCGGATGTCGCCCTTAGCCTCATGACCTTTCTGGTTTGTCGAAATTGGAGAGGGCCAAGAAATGCTTGACCTGTGGAGCAGAGGATCATCGACAAAGGGATTGTCCCGCTAAGGCCTCGAGACTGCCGCCAGCAAGAACAGCCCGTGCAAACTCTCCAAAGAACGGGGAGCAGCGGGCAAGGACCACTGCTGAGCCAGAGAGTGAAACTTCACCAAAGTCAATCGCGGCTTTTTTCTTGGGAGGTGTTGTTGCAGGCCGCAGCAAAGGTGGCGGGAGCAGCGCCACCGAAACCCAAGGCACCATCCAGGAAGGTGCTGTCACTTCACAGTGGTCGCAGCCGTGACGGTGAAGGCGAGATTGCCTATGCCCTGGTGGACTCTGGGGCCACTCATCCATTACGACGGGCCAACGGAGCAGGAGAATGGCAAGCGGCAAGCCCAGTGGTTGTGCACCTAGCAGGAGGCGAGGTTGTGGAGTTGCGAATGAACTCGGCTAGAACTTTTTGGGTACCTTGTTCTGGGATGACAAGGACTACCTCGACGGCTCCAATTGTATGGGAGCCTTGGTCTACGTGTTCGTGATGGATGTCCCGAGGTAACGGAGCAACAGGCTCTTGAGTTCATCGCACGGGCTGAGGACAAGAAGCTCTCTCAAAGCGGAGATCGACGAGAGGCAGCATTCGGGAAGCGATGATGGCGCTGAATCGGTCATGGTTCAACCCGATCGCATACTGTCGGTCAGGGATTGGGTCTGAAGCTCTGATGGCTATTCAGGCTGCCCCCTTCTTCGAGGACTGGCCACCTGAGACTCTTCAAGGTTTGAGCGAGGCCGATCCGATCTCCAATGGTTGGGATGCACGTGCGTAGAGGTTTGGAGCATTTGAACGACCAGCAAGAAGCTGTGGACATCAAAAAGTTGGGTTCTCCACCTGTATGCAGGGAAGCAGCCGAATAGTGAGGTGCTGTTCCTGGAGAAACAAGGGTTTGCAGTCTTGGAGTTGGACCTTGAGCGCGGGAAGTCCCATGATGTTTGTGATCTACTGGCCTGGAGGGCGATTGAATGGACGGCAGGGAGTGGACGCATTGCCTCGGTGATAGGCGGTCCTCCTCAGAACACCTTTATGTTGAAGAGATCCATGACTCCTGGGCCAGAACCACTGAGGAGCAACGAGTTCCCCTATTATGGCTGGTGTGGTCAATCCTCGGAGGACCTGCGAAAGGCCAATAGACACACAGGAGTGTTTGTGAAGATGATCTGCGCGCATGCGCTGGCTACTGCAGGTCGATGTGTGCGCCCGGCAGAACCTGGAGACATCAAGGAGGTCGGTCGCCTTTATGTTGGAGCAGCCCCGTGACCCGAGGGGTTATCTGATGTTTTCAGATCCGCTTGCTGTGGACTCCGTAGGTTTTTGGCGAACCAGTCTGTGCGCGGAGGAGCCTGGTCTGACCACTCGCTTGGCAAAGCTTTGGCGCGACATACCACAAAATAGGAACCAACCTTCCGCTACGACATATACATGGACTCAGCGGGCGGGCGCAGGCTGTCCTTTCCCCCCCCCCAAGGTCAGCTCCGTCAGTATGAGCCAAAAATTTTTCAGAAGTGGCTTCGATTGCAGTGAGGGAGCAGAGGATCAGCCCCACGATGCTGAAAATGTCGGCAGAGCAATGGAAGAAGCATGTTCGACGAGGGCACTTGCCATTCCGCTCGGATTGTGTGATGTGTGTGTGTGTGTGTGTGTGACGGCAGGCTCCAGAGGCCGACGACATGCGCGGGTTGAGCACCCCACTGACCACTGTTTCGTTCTTTCCACAGATGTTAGTGGGCCGTTGGCGATTCCTGGTTGGATGCAGATACACGGCGTGCTTTCCCTCGTCCTCACAAGTACTTGTTTGTGGCAAAGCTGCAAGTGGCCGGGGAGTAGCGGTAGACTACGATCCAGGTGAGTTGGAGGCAGACTTGCCTCCTGAGGAGGATGCGATTGACTTTGAGGAACCTAAGCCGGGTCCAGTGGTTCACGATCCAGTGCCACAAGGAGAGAGTGATGTTCGGGACCAAGGAGATGATGAAGACGTGGATGAGCCACCCCGACAGCGGCTGAATCCGGGGGAGGATTTGGATATGTCTGGTCCTGAGACAGTAAACCTTCTTTTCGCCGCGGCCATGCAAGACAACAAGGGATCAACGGTTCTCGAGGTTATCCAAGATGTGGTGATGTACTGTTGGACATTGGGCATCCCGGTGGTGAGGTTTCACTGTGATCGCCGAATGGAGTTCTACGCCAAGGCGACGCGGCAGTGAATTAAGTATCATGGGATGAGATTTACTACACGCGAAGGAGGCTTGCAGGCTTGCACCAGAACGGGATGGTGGAGGATGCAGTGAGATACCCGCGCTCTGTTGATTGGAGCAAAGTTGCCTCATTGCTCGTGGCTGCAAGCCCTGGCGATGGCAGCTTCGTCGCAAAGAGCGACCAGTTTGGGTATGGAGACTCGGCTGGCAGCTCGCTTTGGTGCCAAGGCTTTGGTCAGGCGCCGTGGGTATGGAGGAACCGCTGAGCCTGGGAAGCCGGATGACTTGGCTCCTCGTTGGCTCGATGGTAGATATTTGGGTCCGTCCGAAACAGTTCACCGAGGGCATGTTGTCAAGATCGTTCATACGGTGAATATTCGTGTGGGTCATGAAGACCATCCACTTCCTGATCCGGACCATCCACTTCCTGATCCGGAGCTAGAAGCTGGTTTAGCAGGACCACCTAGCAGGCGTATACGCGAAGAGGCCCGAGGAAGTGGTGATGTGGCTGCAGTTTCAAAAGGCACAGACGGTTGTTGGAAGTGATGACCTGCGGACTGAGGATTTCTTGAGCGATTGGTCCCAGGAGGAGGCGGAGAAGCTTATTGTGCATGTGGCACTAAGCCTAAATCCTGGTGATCGAAATTTTGGTGTTTTCAGGCGAAATGGAGGGTGAGTGGGTCTGACGAAGGCTACCTGCGACCACGCTTGGATTGCAGAGTTGTTCGTGAGAGCATTGAAGGAGCAGTGTTCCGACGCTGAGTTGTCTGCAACCTATGTCTCTGTCAATACTATTAATACTTCCAGAGAGATACATATTGACAGCAATAATTTGACGGATACCGAGTCATGCCTACCCAGTTGCAATGCCATCTCGAGGCGGTGATCTTTGGATTGAGCTACTCGATGGAGATTTTGTTCTGGAGAAAAATCGTCGGGATGATGGATCAGAAGGGTCGCAACCGGTTTGGATGCATTCAACAATTGGTACCGGGAACGGTAGTTACCTTTGACAACCATAGTCGTCATGCTGTCTTACCTTGGAAGTGTTTGCGAATTGTGATCGTTGGCTATACTCCGTGAGTACCTCAGAATATCAAGGGCAGAGGGAAATGCTGAGTCGTCTTAGTTTCCCTGCACCTCCCGAAGTTGATATGGCATCACCGTATGTGGCTGTTCGAGCATTCTCTGTGCTTCATTCAAAAGGGAAGAGCACGGTCCAGGAGGAGGGGTGTCCCGATGGCTTGTGCTGGGATGAAGAGATTCCTACTTCGGACGGCTTTGTGTTGTTCGAAGAGAAGACTTTGGATGGAAGTGGATGGATGCAGGATGATGTGGTAGCGTCTGCTGGCGCTAGTGAGGAGGTGGAACATGTTTCTTCCACCTGCTGGTGACCTCAAGAAGTGCCTAAAGTAATGATCGCATCGAGTGAAGGAGAGCCAATGGTAGCCCAGGCGAAAGTTTCGTATACTAAAAGGATTGAGAACCTTCTGAGCCCTTGGAGGGCCCGCTGGACTGTGGTGCACAATGTTGACCCTTCAGCAGTTTCAGCATCGTTTTCAAAGTGAGAGGCCCCAGTGAAGAAGGAGATAGCGTCCTTTGAGTCTGCTGCGAAGAGGTCCAAAGCGATGATCCACAGGAGGCCAAAATTGTTCCAATGAAGGTGGTGTATACTGTGAAACCTCCATCGGAGGAGAGCCTGCTCCCTTCCTGGCGCCCGTCCCCCTTCCCCCACTCTCACTCTCTCTAGCTCCTCTTCTGTCTGGCAAACGACATGTACTGCCTAGCGAGACACATGCCGAAGTGTAGCATAGGAACAGGCCTATGCTGCAGCAGCCCCGGCAGAGGTTGTGAGATGTCTTTCGGTGTTTTGAAGAGATGTGGATGCAGCAGTTTTGGATGTCACTGCAGCGTTTCTCCAGACCCCGTTGAGTGAAGTACAGTTTTCACAACGCATCTTGGGACAACCGCCCCGTGCCTTGGTCAGGGAAGGACTATGTGGAGAGCATGAGCTTTGGGAATTTACGCACGCAGGCTGAGAGAGTCCCCTAGATGGTGGGGTGAGTCCCGTGATTGCCGGTTGGTCCAGCTCAATATCGTGGTTGGTTCTTGAAGGATTAAACTTCTTCAGTGCCATGTCGAGGGAAGCTGGTGGTGATTGGTTGATGACAAAGTGCTGGTGGCATTGTCGTGGGATTCGTGGTTGTTTACGTCGATGATCTGTTGATTTGCTCGATTCCATCAATTGTTAGCGCAGTGTCAGATGCAGTTCGTGCTATGTGGCAGACCAGTTCGTTGTCGTGGGCATCACAAGGTGGAATTCGTTTCCTTGGGAAGAGATCGCTAAGGCTGCTAAGGTCGATGAAAGCGTTGCGCGGAATCAGGAGCCCTATGTACGAGAGCTTTTACGCGTGCATGCCGTTCCTGCGACGCAAAGGGACTTGGTGCCGGTATCAAGAGATCCTGCTCGCTTTGAAGCAGAAGCTGATGAGGCAGTGTTTATGCTGGAAGAGCTACGTGTGGCACCAGCAGTTGGCAGGTGAAGTTCAGCGGACAAGACTGGATGTGTCGTACACAGCTGAAAGCGAATTGGCTGCTTCAGTTGAGGGAGCACTGGCACTGGTCAGCATTGAATCGCTACTAAAGGAACTGAACCTTGGCGAGTGGAACTCTTTGTTGAGGACAGATAGTACGTCTTCGCTGTTCATTCAGAAGGGATCGGGATCCTGGAGAACAAGGCATCTCCACATTAAGTCCAACTGGATAGGAGAACGACTGCAGGAAGGCGATCTTCGACTGGAGCATTGGCCTCGAGATCATATGGCTCATGCGCTGACGAAGTCATTGTCGTCTTTGCGGTTGAGGGAGATTTCCAAGAATATGGGCTATGGGCCTGATGCCGCTTGGTGAAATCTGCAGTGAACAAAAGGTTGATAATAGCGACAACTGTAGAATCACCACTTCAGGCTCCCCAGGCCTTAAGATGCTAGCGGCTTTGATAGTTCTGTCCCACGCGGTTGGCGCCTGCAAAGCTACTGAAATGGCTTTTAACGAGCCAATGTCTGTGGATCGTAGTTTGCTGGCTTGGTGTGTGTTTGCTCTGATGGCATTGCTGTGGACTTTGGCATGGGAGCTGATCAAGTGATCAAGTATGCAGGGTGGCAGATCTATTCTTCAGCAACTCAAGGAGCTAGCAGCTAGCTCAGGGCGATCGAGGAGGCTGCGTCGAATCAGGGCTCGACTGTTGAGGCAGATCAGACTGAGTTGAATAATCGACGACACGAGGCAAGGTTTCCTGTTGAGTGTCGAAGAGCACGCACTTGGGTCGAAGCTACGGAAGCTCTGGTGATGGGAGAAATTGTACGGCATCCAGTAGCAGAGTACCTGGCACCCTTTATAGGATCTCATCGCACTGTGCACCGTGCGGACCAGCGGGACCGGGAAGTTCAAACGACAGGTCCAGCATTTGTGAATGTAGTACTTGAAGTGAGCCGAAGAAACAGTGCATTCCGGAGCATATTCGTTTTGTGGCGGGGAACCAGTGCTACCATGCGTTCAACCCGTGTCATGCATTTCGTCATCGAGGAATCCAGGGGCGAGCGCAGACTCTGCGAAAATGTGAGTATCGTGTGGGACATAGCGGGCGTGATCCGCAAGCTCCTGCGCAGGGTGTCGATGAGATGCTTAGAGCCGGCGCAATTCCGAATTTTGCTCGGCTTGGCATTAATCCTGGGTGATCAAGATTGGACTAGCGGTGACTAACGTCCATCTAGAGGAGGAGTGAGGAAATTTGGTTGCCAGGCATGTGGGAACAGGCTTTTGGTGCCAGGGCACAGCGGCCAGCGGCTTTTAACCCATGACTTACCTCCTTTTGTTGGGGTTTAGACAAGACTACGTGTAACCGTCTTGGGCCATGATCCTCGTATTGCAGCACGATACACTTTGTAAAGCGGAAGCATCGCTACGTTCTGAAGTTTCGATTAAGGCCGGCAAGTGCCTTACAACACAGCTCATGTGGTGATAAGATAGTGCAGGTGAAGCGACTGCAGAGCATCACCATGACATGAAACTCTGAGCACGTCATGAGCCTAACATGAAAACAATTCGCCAACCGATGAGCTGAGCACTGCTTTGGGTTCACCATCTGAGCTGAAGTATTGCTGCTTGTGCTTTCGTTGATTTCGACTAGCCTTGCACCCTCCGGGTGTGCAGCCCTTAACCCTGAAGTCCTAAAGCGAGCGTGCCGTGCCTTAAGTAAGTTCTGCAATCCTCGCACAGCCTTGCCAGTCAGCCGGTCCTCTTACACTCCCATTACTCCTCACCTTCGGCTCTCCGAACAGAGCCAACAAGCCGGTGTGTGCAGCGCTCCCAGCAGGTCGAGCGTTGCCCCGGCAACCCTCCCACCCGTCTGCGTTCGTCAGGTCGAGCAAACCCGCAACCCACCACCACTACCCCAGCTGCCTCATGTCGCCGCCACCCTTCCGGGTGCGCTCGACTCCTGTCCCGAGTTCCTTTGCAGCCCACTCACCGCACAGTATACCAGCTGTTGCGGTCCTTGGGACAACCTTCCTTGCTTCGCGCCCGGGGACCTCTGCCACCAGGGACTAGTTGGGACGTTCGTCAGGACGAGAAGTACAGCCGACCCCGCGCCAAAGCCTAGTTCGTTGAGCTTGACCACCTGCACAAAGTCGAACTCTCTCGTGAAGTAGGGAGATCCGAACATGCTGTCGCCATGTTAGCTGAAGTTGGGAAAGAGCAGACTAAGGCCAAGTTCAGGGGCCCGTTCGAGCCCGACCAGGTGTCAACAGAGCCGGCGGCATTTGCTTCAAGAGCCTTCCCGGTAGTGCAGCAGGACAAGATCCGTAGCGCGGATGACTGGCAAAAGGTCAGGACACAACAGCACAAGTCTTCGTAATTGTGACTCTCTGGCACGCAGACCGTGCTCGGCTCAGTCCAGTCAGCAGCTGAGTTTGGGAAACCCCTGTTAGCGGGCCTGGACCACGACGGGGCAGAGCCGTGCCCGTCAGAGACCCCGGAGAGTGCTTCGTGTTCATTCCCGAGGATCAAGGACCTCAAGTGTTCCGGCAATTGGTTCTCCCGTTCGGAGGCACAGGAAGCGTCTGGGCCTACTTCCGGATCACAGACAAAATCTGCTTCCTCACGTTAGTCTTGGTTTTCTTGCCCGCTGCACACTTCGTAGACGACTTTTACTACAGCCAGCCGTCCAGGACAGCTTCGTCAGGATTCAGCAGCTTTTGCTCCATTCAGTCCCTGTTAGGCGTCACCACGAAAGAAAGCAAAGCACAGAAGCCAATCCCGACTTCCACCTTGTTAGGGGTGGCTTGGAACATCCTGAAAGACTCGATCACTGCGGGACCCAGTGAAACAGGATTCAGAAACTGTCCGAGCTGATCCGGAAAGTTTTGTCAGCAAGCACACGTAATTCGGACGAGGCCACACACCAAGGCCTTCTTTAAGGCAGTTTACTCCCGTCAGCACTGCCCATCTCACCAAAAGAAGCTAAGCCCGCCTTTGCAGACCGCTTTGACAAACCTGTCAACTTTTGCCCTCACTTGAACCCCGCTGCTTCGTGACGCTTGCAGGCATCCGTCACAAGCGACCCCCCGTCTTGTCTTCAAAGGGTCGTCGAACGGGCTAGGAGCAGTTTTCTTCAGCAAGACGGGCCTTAAATGGGCTTACAGGTCGTCTGTGCCGAACGTACTCTTGGCAGCAGCTGCTACGACTAGGGCCTTCATCTTCTGGTTGGAAGCAATGGCCCAGATCGCATGCCTGATGATCGCCTCCCAGGTCCTGTCAGGAGACGTAGTGTGCTTTGTCGACAACTGTGCGAGCGAGCATGCACTGAGAAAAGGATACTCCAAGGACCCAGCCCTGACTAACCTGTTAGGCTGGTTCTGGTAGTGGGTAGCCAGCAAGAGTCTCAACGCCCTGTTTGTGCGGGTCACCAGTCAGGCCAACTTCTCTGACAAAGTGTCGTGAGGTGACAAAGAAAGACTTAGCGACTCGAGGATGCCACAAGAAAGATCCTGAGTTTGACCAAGCTTGGGAGCTCCTGTTCGAGCTCACGAAAAAGCCCATGGACCCCGACAAACCCCTTTCCGAGAAGCTGGTCAAGCTGCTAGCGTTGCACCCGGTAGCCCAGTGAGAGCGCGTGTGAGTGGTCGTTCCCCGCTAGAGTGGAAGTGCTGCGGACCGACCAGTTCGCCTTTTAGAGGCTTGAGCAGGTTGGCCGTGACCCGTTCGGACCGCACCACTCCGCGGGTAGTGGAAAAGAACCGAACTCCTGTTCGTATGCACTTTCACTAAACAGAAAACTTGTCCTTGCATGCTAGTCTGGCCTGTTCGGACGTATCGCGAAAAAATTCAGCAGGAATCGAGGTTACATCTGACAACAGGATTGCGGAGAAGGCAGGAGCCTTCTGCATCAGAATCATGGGCTGCACCGACATGTGCACTCTTGACACATGTAGTAAAGACCGTTGTGGACTTCTTCCCGTTTCCTAAGTTGCCCACCCACATTCTCCATATGGTGACGAAACTCCGAAGACGGTTCTGTGGGACCTGATGCACTCACTGACCCTAACGCGACGTGGATGATGCCTGCGGCCACTACTAGTGCACTAGCAGCATGCGCTTGATGCGCAGGACGAATCTTCCGTGAGTCTCCTTGACTCAGCCAAGCTTTGCCTCAGGTTTGTTGCATTCCTAGTCCAGACCTAGGCTGCAAATTGTCGGGTTATTCTTCATATGCCTGCATGACGGGCTCTCGGTGGATCACTGTAACAGCAGAGCGATAGTTTGGGAACGCTGCCGTGACACGAAAAATAGCTGGCGCCAGCTGGGGTGCATTCTCGGACTTCACGGGCCGATGTTTCTGCCAGGCCCGCAGAGCAACCCGGCCCAGGCCCAGCCCCAACAATCGCTCCGTCACGCATAGCAGCTGCGAGTTGGCCCAGGTCAAGACGACCTCGACTTTTCGCCAGTCCGAAAGGCCTGGATGGCGACGGCTGGGAGCTCGCATGTCCTTCTCCTGATGCCACGGTCACCAGGACGGCCAAGATGCGGGGATGTCCTTCGTGACTGGTGTGACAACGCCACCGTCTTCGCTGGACGGTTGCTGCCTATCACAATCCGAAAGCTTCAGATTGGACTTCAAAGGAGCTCACCAGCTTTGTGACCCCCAGCAGCAGGCCTCATTGGCCCGTGTTGAGAAATGAGACGACTTTACAGCCTGCCACGGTGCCACTGTAAAGGTCGTCCACTCCGCCTCCACCTTCTCCGGAGGCCACCAGCTCTAGGCGGAAGCGTTGCCGAACACCTCTGGTTGGCCAGGAACATGAAAGAGAACTTGAGGAGCTTTCGAACGTCGACACTTTCGGGTTAGAGCAGGCCCGCCTGTGCTACGTTGCAGGCCCATCAAGCGCCAGCCTTGCGAGTGAAATTCTGAAGCTGTTGCTGCCGGCAGCATTTTGGTACTGGCAGATTCAGCCTCCAAGGCCCCGGTGTGTGTGTTTGTTTTGCTTTTGGATCAAGCTTGACCAGGCGGTAGTGCATCCCGGGCCACCACACTCCTCGGTGCTCTGTAGCAGTGCAGTGGTCGAGATGGG